GGCAGGATGACTGCAAGTTTCAGCCCAAACTAGGCAATTTAGCAAGACCTTGTCTCAATTTTTTTTGTTTGTTCTTTGTTTTTTGAGACAGGGTCTCACTAGTAGTTGAGACTGACCTGGAACTTACTATGTAGCCCAGGCTGGTCTCGAACTCACAGCGATCCTCCTGCCTCAGCCTCCTGAGTGCTGGGAATACAGGACTGCGCCACCACGCCAGGCCTTGTCTCAATTTTTTTTAAGGGCTGAGGATGCAGTTCAGGGCAAAGGTCCTGAGCTCAATCCCCAGAAAGAAAAAATAAAGAGGAAAAAGGAAAAAAACAACAAATTAAAAATATGAAAAAGATCCGAATAGGCACCGTGCTAAAAAAGATACAAATAATAAATAAGTATATAAAAATGTGCTCGACCTCCTCCATCTTTAGGAAATCAACTCAACCACTTGGCTGCACACCAAAAACTAATGGCGAGGACAGAGAGAGCAACAGAAACTCCTTTATCGCTGGTGGGGACGCGAAATGGTGCGGAGATTTGGAAGGACACTTGGCAATTTTTTCCAGAGCCAAACAGAATCTTACCCTGCATCCCAGCAAGCGTGCTCCAGGTCATTGAGCAAGGTGCGGCCACCCAGCTGAAACTTATGTTCCTACAGAAATCTGCTAAGAACCAGGCATGGTAACCTGTACCGACAGTCGCAGCACTCGGGAGGCTGAGGCAGGAGAATTGCTTCAGCCCAGGAATCTGACGTCAGGATGACCAACACAAGTTTCCACCTCAAAAAAAAATTTGTTTTTCCAGCACAGGAATATTTATGACAGTTTTAGCCAGGGATTTAGCTCAGTGGTGCCACTGCCTGCCTTGCAAGTGTGAGGACCGGAGTTTGATCCCCGGTACAAAAAAAAAAAAAAAAAATTTACTCACAATCACCCACAACTGCAAACGACCAGCATTCTGTAATAGGTTTCTTCATAGAGAAACCAACCATTTGCACTTGTCAGCTTTCCGATGGTAGCCGACTTGGAAAGAGAAAAAGGTTATTTCAGTTTACGGTTCTGGACCTGTGGTGAGGTCCAGCGACAGGAAAGCAACGGTGGGCAACTCACCTCAGGGCAGCCCGGAAGCTAAGGCAGGGAGAGGCGGAGTCCAGGGACCGGCAGAGGAGGGGACCTCTACCGGAAGGGGAGGGCTCCAGAACAGAAGAGGCGGGGCCCAGGAACCAGAAAACACGCCAGGCAGTACTGTTAAAGGTGCATCACGCCCAGATGGCGCCACAGGCTGGGCGTGGCCCCTTCCCACAGGGCTCCTAGGGGAAGTTTGTCCAACCCGTGGCCTTGTGGTACAGCCACGCGATGGACTATTCTACAGCAGTTTTAAAGACTGGGCTCTCAAGCCACTGAGAAAGGTGGGTGAATCTTAAAAGTACTGCTAAATGAAAGAAAATCTACGTATGTTATCTACTTATTCCGATTATAGGACCTTTTCGGAAAATAAAGCTGGTAAACAGATCGTTGCTTGCCAGAAGTTAGAAGAGCAAAACTGAGGAGGTAAAACACAAAGGTTTGGGATTTGTTGTCGTTGTGATCGTTTAAGTTTTGGTTTGGTTTTGGTTTTCTTTGTTTTCAGACCCTCCATATATTTAGCTACATTCCCCAGTGGTTTTTTTTTTTTTTTTTTTTTTCCAAACAGGGTCTCGATAAGTCACTGAGTTGCCCAGGCAGGGCTGGAACTTGCAATCTTCCTGCCTCAGCCTCCCAGGTGCTGGAATTACATGCATGCCCCACCTCAGTCCGCAGCACAATGAATTTTTCAGGGCAATAAATTTCCCATATGATACCATAAATTAAATTTAAATTAGAAACAAAATTAGGAAGGCAGAGAATCTTAGAACAGAGGGCAAAGCTTTCATAGCAGGAGGGAAGAGAAGGTTGATCCTATAAACTCAGCTCTGGGAAAGGCGTCTGGGCCAGTTGCCAGACCCAGGCTTCCATCCCCTCCTTCAGATGCCGGAAGGACCACGAGGAAATGCAGAGGACATCTGTCCATTTGGGACCATGTCCCAATTTTGCCCAGAGTTTGCCTTCCCTTCAGACTAGAAGTGGGCTATTTAAACCAAGATTGTCAGACCTGGATTTCTCCGTGGCCGAGTAACGTGGTTTCGGGTTCACATTGGCCTTACACAGCTATGAAGAGTCTGAGCAGGCCAATTAGGAACACGTAGCTGGGAACTGCTCAGCTGCAAATAGGATGTGCAGGAGGGAAACCAAGCTTTCTGTTTCTGGAAACCTGCTGACATAGGAAATGCTTCTTTTTTTTCTGCAGAAGTGCTGCCTTCGGTGGACAGAATTCAGCCACAATCAAGCTAATTGAATGCACAAATGTAATATTTTGCAGGGCACCTCCGATTTAATGCTTGATGAAATCGTGTCTTTCGCATATATTTACAAAAGCTTTTCTTCATCCAGAAATGTCTGTTAAAATTGCTTATAGATGCTGAGATAGCAAATCACTCTTCTAATGTAATGAGATAAGTCATCTCTATAAACTTTGCTTGCTTAAATGTACTCACATAAAAGAAATCGGGCTACAGGCTTTTTTCAATAAATAGAATGAACAACCAGAACTTGATGGCTATAGCATGTTCTGCCTCATTGCTGTGGGATGTTTAAAATTGCTCGCTCTTTTCTCTTTCTCTCTCTCTCTCTCTCTCTCTCTCTCTCTCTATCGCTGTAGCAGTTTTCATTTTGATAGTTGATGGAAAAAAGAGGTCGAATAAACTGATGTGGGTAAGAAGCCACAGCCATTTGTCAAAATGCAAGCAAAGGCCTGGAGATTGGAGTCATTTAAAGACTGAAATTGATATAAAATATTCCAGTCCTCAAATCATTTTTCTTGCTAATGTAGCTACTCTGTGAGCCTGGTTTTCCCTGCTTTCGCTATCTTTACTAATAATTTACACCACGGGAACTTCACAGACTGGGGAAGATTTATACACATAGCCATTTGCCCATAGCCCCACAAAACGGGTAAGCCACCACTTTGGCAGAAAGCCTAACTGTCCATGTCACACATGACCTGGGGGTCACAGCACAAGTTCATTGTATATGGTCACTCGGGTTGAGTACTGCACAACTTCAGGGGAGGTAATTTACACACAGACTATGATGTGAAGGATATGGGGAAAGTCGTGCTCTTGGTCGTGGTGCCATAGTGCAGTAAATTTCCATGGCTACGCTGCACATCCGTGGCCTTTTATTTTTAAAAAATAATGAAATCAGCCCCTTTTTTGAGTGGCTATCAACACACAGCATGTGAAAGCCTGCCTGGCACCCTTGCCCCTGTCGGGGTCAAGTGGATTTCTCATCTCCAGATGGTCACCTCCGCCCTGCGCAATGCCTGAGACAGCAGTGGGATGGAACACCCTGCCTTGCCCTCTGCTCCTCCCACCGCTGTCCCAGCGTGGCCTGGAGCTCTTTGAAAGCCCACGTATTTGCTCAATCTCAATCACTGCTCTTGGCAGTGTGGCCCAGCCCCATCGGGTTTCCGAGTTCAGAGCGATAATTTGGGGTTAAAGAGAAAGGTCCTGCTTCTTCTTCAGTTCCCTGAACTCTGCTGCAAGACCACAGAAGAGTACATTTCTGGGTTTGGGCATCGATTCTAATATGCTTCGGAGGTCACGTTTGATCAAACAGCCCCTTTGCATCACCTGCTTTTGAAAGAGCTCCTCAGCCGCCTGGGAGGGGACCTGAGCCTCCTTCAGTCCAGATTTCGTCTAAAGTTTGCCCAAGGGCTCACGACGGCCAACCAGTTGCTGGCGGGTGGATTTGACTTGGATTTTTGCAGCTGCTGCAGTTGTTTTAACTGAACTTCGGAGGCAGGGGTCCACTGAGTCTCCGGATCCCCCCCGCCCCCCGTTCACACACCAATTTCCCCTCCCTGCTGGGTCTCTGCAGTCTGCAGCTTGTGCTCCACCAGCCAGGCATCGGGATTTGACCCCTGATGTGAAGATCCTGACCGGGAGGGAATGTATTGTAAGGCTGTGGAGGGTCCTGTCCACTCGCCCACTGCCATGGCCGAACTCTGCCTGGGGAAAGTCCTGAAATTAGCAGCCACCTGCAGGGCCGCAGGGCCGGGGAAGCCGTGCGTGCAGAGCACCTTCCCATCTGCAAACGCGTGCGTGCGTGCTTGTGAAAAATGTGCTGCAAGGGTGTAGCAGAAACCAGTGACTCCAGGGAAGGGCTGGCCGGCAGAGGGCTGTGCGGGGAGCGAGGGCAAACAGTCTGTACAGCGTGGAGTCAGAGGCGCCATCAGAGGCGCGGACACACCAGCCGTGGGAGTGCCTCCTATTCAGACCTGGGCCGAAAGACTGCACCGAGTCAGACTTCACCTTGCGTTTCGAGAGGCAGCACAGAAGTTCCCTTCTCATTGTCATCACTCCCAATCCACCCCATCAGAAGACATCAGCTTCCCCTCCGCGCTCCCAACCCGCCCTCCTTACGGGAAAGCCTCAGCCCGGCTCGCAGTCAGGCAGTTCTGGAGCAGGAGTGGGAAAGAACTGCTTTTAGTATTTGCAATATTTGCTAAACAGAATCCATCCCCTCATCCTGCCCTCTACTTGTTTCCACCTAATTTACCCTCAGGGAGATGGACAGAGAAGAGTCAGTCTGGGATTTTCCCAAGATCCTCTCTTCCCCCGGGTGTGTAATGCTGCCCGTGACCCCATTAAATGGGAATGTTCTCCACCTGCATTGATCCATGCACTAGCTGCAGACCCACGGGATACTGAGCATCGGAAATGTGGGCGGTAGCCATGCCAGGTGGTGCATGCCTAGAATGCCAGCACTCAGGGAGGCTGAGGCAGGAGGATTCAAAGTTTGTGCTTTGGCTGGGCAACTTAGCAAGACCCTGTCTCAAAAACTAAAGGGTCCAGGATGTATAGGATGTAGTTCAGTTTAAATGCCCTGGTTCAATACCCAGAACTGAAGAAAAAAAGGAGGAGGGGGAGGAAGGAGGGAGGAAGGAAGCGGAAACGTGATATGACTGAAGAACAAAATTTGAACTTGGCATAGGTTAAAGTCATTTGTATTGGAGTAGCCACATCGGGATAGTGGCTATGGTATCTAAGCTTTCATCCCATAGAGAAAGCTTCGCCAGTTGAACAGCATGATCTTAAGCATGCTTGGATTTTTTTTTCTTTTTTTTGTGGTTTTTTTGGGGGGGACTTGAGTAGCCACATCGGGATAGTGGCTATGGTATCTAAGCTTTCATCCCATAGAGAAAGCTTCGCCAGTTGAACAGCATGATCTTAAGCATGCTTGGATTTTTTTTTCTTTTTTTTGTGGTTTTTTTTGGGGGGACTGGGGATTGAACTCAGGTCCTTGCACTTGCAAGGCAGGCCACTGAACTGCTGAGCTAAATCCCCAGCCCTTTTTTGTTTTTTTTTTTGGTACCAGGGATCAAACTCAGACCTTATGCTTTTGAGGCAGGCGATGGAACCACCGAGCCAAATCCCGGGCCCTCGGGCATTTTACACAGTTAAATAGAAAGCAAGGCCAAAGCAATAATTGTTTCTAAAGTAAAAATAAGAGTTTATTCATGACACAGTACACTGGAGGCAAAGTGTTTCACGTCACAGACTTCACTTCCGACTCCTCGGAATGTTCATTTCTTTGGCTTAAAGGAGAGGCTGGATGGGGAGCCGGGCACCCTAGGCAACTAGAGGAAGGAGCTGGGGGACAGCGCAACCTTGTCTTCATGGGGAGCGGCCGAGGGTCTGTTAGTCGCAAGCGGATTCTCGAAGGCATTAGGGGGGCACATGGAGCCTTCAGTTCAGTCGTCTCCACCGCACAGGTACAGCAGCGCTTTCTGGTAGTCGCCCTTGGTGTCTTGCTGCAAGTGGCCACCGAGAAAAGAGACCATTGTATTAGGAGATAGGCCAGCATCCTCAGGAGCCTCTAGGCACCCTCAGATACAGTAGAGCCATCTTGGGCCGAGAGGGCAGGCTCTGCACACCCTGCTGTGGGCTGTGGCCTGCGGGCCTAGGCGGGCTGAGCCGAAGGTGCTTGGGGGACTTAAGTTCCAGGATGGCTGTGAGGTCCTCACTTTCCTCCCATGCCCGCACCCCACTGCCGTCCTGTGACTCCTAAGGTCGCATGGAAGTAATACACTCAAGTAGAAGGAAGACGCTGGACTTTGAAATGCACCCCATTAAACCCAGGGCCAATGAACCCGCCTGTAAATTCACAGAGAGGTTCCTGGAACTGTCGAGATCTCTCAGAAGGGGGATTTGCAAAGCCTGTATGAACCACGCTCTGGGGACCATGGTGAATGCAGCCACCCCTTCTACACCCTTTCCCCTTTCTCTAAAAGGCACAGGGAACACACAGATTAGAGATGGGAATTGTGAGTAAATACTGCCAGGCCTTCCTGAGAAGTTTTCAAGAAATAGACATAAAATAAGAGTATAAATCGAACTGGTCTCCAAAGTCTCTTCTAGAGATCACCAATTCTCAGAGAACCAGAGTAACAGATGTGGGGAAAAGAAAACCCTGGGCCGATTCCACAGAGTTCAGGCCCAATCCTAACGGTGCTTTCAAAACAAGTCCCTGAGCTTTGATGACCAGCACCTCTTCCCCAGAGAATTAGAAAACAGGAGACACCATTGTGCTATTGCCGACTGTCCACCTGCCTGAGAGCCCTAGGCAGGTGACCTTCTAGATGTCCACACCCTCTGGATGGCCAGGCAGGGCACAGCTAGCTCCACGGGACTCACCTGGATGTAGGAGTACAGGGACTTGCCATACTTCTTCTTGAACTCAGACCTAATTTTCAACATGTCCACTTCACAGCGGGAGACCATGATTCTGATCAGGACCTTATCTCGGGTTCCCTTGCCCTGAAAGTCAAGTTGATGTGGCAGGTTAAATTCCTGACCATGCTATCATTAAAAAAAGCACCTAGTGCTGGGTGTGGCGGTGCACACCTGTAATCCCAGCACTCAGGAGGCTGAGGCAGGAGGATCACTGTGAGTTCGAGACCAGCCTGGGCTACATAGTGAGTTCCAGGTCAGTCTCAACTACATAGTGAGACCCTGTTTCAAACAAACAAACAAAAAAGCACCTAGTGGGCCAGGGATTTAGCTCAGTGGTTCCACTGCCTGCTTGTAAGCTCAAGATCCCGAGTTCAATCCCCGGTACCAAAATAATAATAAGTAAATAAATAAATAAAATTTTTAGAAAGCACCTAGTACACTCTGTGGGACATGTGTGGCTCTCTAAGGGACTGAATTCCCTTCAGAAAAAGGAGCATCACATTCCAAATATACCAGGACCTACTCAGCACAAACCCTGCTCTGTGCATTTGATAAACATACACTGAGCACCTACACCAGGCTCTGCTCTCAGTCTGTGAGTTTCTACTCACAATGAGAGTCTCAGTCAACTCAGGACTGAGAGGAGCAGCCAGTGCGTGGCTTTCAGGGGCCCCAGGCACAGGTATATGTGGCAAGGGACCCAAGGAGAGATAGCAGAGGCAGTGTGGGCAAGGGAGGTGCTGCAAGGAGAAGGCAGGAATGTTCAGGGTGTGGAAGACGGGATGCGATTCGCCTAGGGAGAGGCACAAGGCTGACTTTGGAGCCAGGCAGATGCAGGTTCGGACAGGCTGAGGCTGTCCCCAATCTCTTCATTATAAAGAATAACCTGGATTCCCAGCACTCTGAGAGGCTGAGGCAGGAAGACAGCAAATTGAAGCCCAGCCTGGGCAACTTGGTGACTAAGCAAGACCCTGTTTCAATAAAGAGCAAAAGAGGCTGTGAATGTAGTTCAGGGGGAAAGCCCTGGGTTCAATCCCTAGCTCTCATCTCGAAAAATAAGAACTCCTGCCAGGGTCTAAGGGCGGTGAGGTGAACACCAGGCACAGCAGTGCAGGTGACCCGGCAACACCAGGCATCGGAACCTCTGGCACTTTATTCTTCACCTGTACCCAAACACACGGTCACACAGGTCCGGGAGGACGGGCCCGTGTTTCCCTCTCTGTAAGACACAGATGCAGCTGCCGGGCGTGCGCCTGCGTGCAGACACCAGGTCCCTTCCTCCTCCCTTGCGTCCAGAACAAGAGGAACCCAGTGTGGAAGACGGCCCGCACCTTCATGGAGTCGTACAGCCGGTCAGCAAAGTACAGGGGCTTGTTCTGGATGCACTGCACTGTGGAGAGAAGAAAACGCGTCAGGGCCCAGCGCCGGCTCCCCGACACCAGGAGCCTCTGACGTCCCCGGGTACTGAGCAGAAATGACCTGGAGCACCCTGAGGAAGCAGCAGACCTGAGGACCTAAGGAAATCGGGCCTCCTCTGAAAGACGAGGTCACCGTGGCTCCAACCAGGGGGCTCTGGGGGCGGCAGACATGTGTCTCCCCACGTGATCTCTCTCTCCTGTCATCTTAGTCCTTCCCAGCTCTCTGCTCGGTGTAAGCCCTTAAGACAGCGGCATCACGTCCTTAAATTTCTGTAGTTAAGATTATAAAATGATGCAAATCACACAGGGAAGACCCGCTGCCTGACAGGCTTGCATGAAGATGCGGCCACTTGTCCCTCCTGCTCTGTACTGTCCCCTGAAAGCTGAGGTCCGTGAGGGCGCAGCGGGCCAGACCTGCTTACCCAGGTTCAGGAAGGCATTTTCCAGGTCTCCTTTGACTTCCTTCTTGATGCTCTCCAACATGTCGTAAGGGCTGTAGCTCTTGTATCTCTCAAAGACTAAGGAAGAGCAGCGAATAATCACATCAGAGCCGCTAGTCAAAGCCACGGTGATCACTGTGTCGTTAGGCACCGTGACAAAAATAAGTGACGATGATCCCAGAGAGGTCTTGGGGGGCGGTCACAGGTTACCATGGACAACCAGAGCCGACCTTGCACCAGTCAGTCCTGGAGCAGCTGGGTGATGAACCTGTCCCGAGTGGCACTGCTCGGGCCACAGGGTGTCCATCCCCACCTCCGTAGTCCCCAAGTGGACCCCATTCTGCCTGGATGCCACCAGGAACGGCAGGGGCTACCCAGCCAAGTCCTTTACTTCAGCAAATACGGCCAGATACAGTGGCCCTCAGAGAAGGGGAGTGGCTGGGTGTGGTGGTGCAGCCCGTGACCCAGTACTCTGGGGGGCTGAGGCAGCAGGGTCACAAGTCTGAGCCCAGCCTGGGCAACCTAACAACTCAGCAAGATCTTGTCCCAAACTTAAAAATGTAAAAAAGGACTGGGGATGGAGCTCATTGCAAAGGCCTTCGGTTCAGTCCTCGGTACAGGACGAAGGGGCAGGGAAGGGGCTGGGGATTTAACTCAGTGGTTCCACGCCTGCCTCGCAAGCACAAGGACCCCAGTTCGATCCCCAGCACCAAAGCGGGGGGGCAGGGAAGAGAGGAAGAGGAAGAAGTCAGCTTAAGAACTGAACATGCAAAATATTTTGGGGCAGAGCAGGATGGGAGCCTGTTCCAGCGTCCGTTGAGCGTGAGCCCTGCCTGGGCAGATCTGAGCCCCAGCACAGACATCACAGGGCCAGCTGAGCGGCCCTGGGGACCAGGGTCTCCCCGGCACAACACCCACCTTTCTGCAGGTGGCACACGCTCTGCTCGGTCATGATGCTGATCCACTTCGGAACATCCGTTCCTTTCCTCTTCACACCAGCATCGTAGAGATCCTAGGAGCACAGCCAACGGTGCAAAGTGGTGAGAAATATCACAAAAGAACCCCAAGGCCACACATCCCAAGTGTCAAGTGAGCAAGGGTGACTGCGCTGCAGACACCGCCAAGATGAATCACAAGCGACCTTCTGGAGGCACAGACAGAGGCTGTGTAAGGCTCAGATCCTCCCTTGAGCACGAGAAGCAAGACAGAGAGCTCATGGTGTAAACAGGCACAAGCACATCCGGGCACATTTCAAAGCCCAGGATCTAAGGGTCATTTACTAAAGACAGCGACAGGCCAGGCTTCTCAGAAACTCAGGAAGAGACAAAACAGGAAAAGCAGCCAGTCTAATCTCATTTTCAGTTTCTGGAAAACTTAGGGGCTGTAAACAATACCAGGAATGGAAGGAAGGTCGAGAACAAGAAAGGATTCACCCAGCGACCCTCTGTTAAGGGGGAGTTACGGAATTCAGCTTCTATTGCTGTATTTTCAAGTCTTCTCCACCTCCCGCTAAAATGAATTTAAATTAATTTTTTTCCTGCAGCTTTTATGACACGCTTTGAGACAACTGCTAACCCTCTGCATGGGGCAAATAGTCCCAAGCAGACTCAATCAACTTCTCCACCAGTTCTCAGGGACTTCGGCAGAGTTCACCGAGGACAGCGCCACTTCCCACCACGGTGACACAGAAAGCCTCCATCCTGGCTGTGCCTCAGTCTCCCGCTTCCCACTCGCACCTGCCATTGGGGCGCGCAGCCACGCCGCCCTGCAGAAACCCTGCTTCCGCACAGGCAATGCCCCAAAGCAGGGGTTGAGTCTGCTCTCCCTGCGGTGGCTGCCACCGGCGTTTGGTGGGAACGGATCAAACCCACGTTCTCTGCCTGAAGTGGGTCTAAGGTGTGGTCCCAGCCCCCTGACACCCTCCCTTCCGCGGGTGGATCCTCAGCACCTCCCGCGACAAGAACAGACACAGGGACAATGGTGACGACTGTGTCTCGCTCCTGGAATTAGCCCCCCACGGTTCAGAACGCCCCCTCACAGACAGCTGCCTGCTATTCGGTCAGGACGCTCCAGAGCCTGCAGACAGACACTAAGGCGTCCCACCAACAGTCCCGTGGACCACCAGACCCCATCAGTCCAGCCCCCAGGTGACCACAGTCCTAGCCAACACTGTCTGCAACCTCACTGAGACCCTGGGCCAAGCTACCTGGCTGTGTCACTCCCCACTTCCTGACCCACGAAACAGAGATATTAAGTGTTTGTTGGTGGTGATGGCAATGTTTTTAGTACCAGGGGTAAAATCTAAGGGTGCTCGACCTACTGAGCTACACCCCCGGCCCTTTTTAAATTTTCTTATTTTGAGACAGTCTTGGTAAGTTAAGTTGCCCAGGCTGGCGTCAAAACTTGCAATCCTCCTGCCTCAGCCTCCTGAGTGGTCTACTAATTTTAGGGGTAACTTATTACAGAGACACAGATGACTACACAGGTCCTTCTCAAACTAAAAAGCTTGGCACTTACCCGGGCATCCTGGTCAATGAGCTCATAATCAATGACAGAGCCATCCTCTGCTCTTCTACCCTACAGGGAAAAAAAGAAGACCATCAAATCTATTGCTTTGTGTATTTTTAAAACTGCAAATCTTTTCTCCACAACTTATATAAGCCACAATTTCATTTCCTAAACAAATGCCCACGTATATGTATTTTTTTCTTTTCATTTTGAGTCCAGACAAGATGAAAACGGGTGACACAGTCGAGGCCCTAGCCTGTCCCCGATGAGCTAGACCAGTAATTCTTCCTAGAGGCAGGGACACACAGTGAACAACAATACCCCAGGGCACTAACATGGTGGGAAATGCAGAGGAAGAGAGGCCTCTGAGGGAGCAGAGTCCGAGTCTGGGAAGGACAGGCGGGGCCTGAGCCGGACCTGGCCCGGGATTCAGAAGCACACGAGGCCACAGTGCCGCCGAGGGAGGCCCAGGGGGCGGCAGCAGCGAGTCTGGGTTGGACGCAGAAATGGGTTTCGATCAGGGCAGCAGCACAGTGAAGGTGGCCCACAAAAAGCTCCAAGGGCGTTGCACACAGGGAGGCAGCAGAGGAAGAGGGGGAGCCAGGGAGCTGTAACGGAGGTGCGCGTGGCCAGGAGACGGCACACAGAGGACGGCATTCACCACCAGGCTCCGGGACAGAAGCTTCTCTCTCCCTCCCCTGAGACTCGGACAAAGGACGACATGGGCAAAAGCTCTCATTAAGAAGAGAGGCGAGAGGTCACTCCCGGTGGGCCCCGCATGGCCCAGACAGAGGCAAAATGACCTTCCCTAATCACGCAGTGCGGGCTGGCACATAAATCCAGGCCAGAATTTGAGCGCCGCCTGTTCCTGCCCGGCCCCCCAAGTCCAGTCAGCCGTCCATGCAATTTCTCGGGATAAGAAATCCTATTACATAGAAACGACAACTCTGCAGCGACGGTGCAAACCCACTGTGGAGAAGGCAGCAGGATTTCAGAGGCGGGCACAGAGGATCGAGCTAATTCGCTCCTGAGTATGAAAGGAGGGATGCGACTTGCCTGGGAGGAAGTGGGGGGCAAAGGAAGAAACCCACCTTGGCGAGGGCAACCATCAGCTTGCGGAAGTCACCGGACGTGTCGGAAATGATGTCCTTCTCCAGGTCGGTCTTGTACACTTGGGAAACAGCACACCCGTGTGAGGCTTCCTGCCTGTGCAGCTGACGGCCTCCCAGCCCAGCAACCCCACCCAGGCTCAAAGTGCAGGAGGGGCCGGGTTGCTATGGAAGCCTCTGAGCTCCTGAACCCCAAACTGAAGGTCAGCTCTCTAGAACGACTTGATCCCCACGAATTCCAGTGCTGGCATGATCAGTGACAAGGGACAGACAGGTCTAAAGTGGGCTTTCTCTGGACTTAAAATGCTGGTTCCCAACCTTCCTATGAATAATCATTTTCAGCATCAACAAAGTTAGTGCCTCCACCTCTCCCACAATAATTAGCATTATTCACAGATTAAGAAAATACACCAATAGCAAAAGCTAGTACAAATTAAATAATATTTTGGGGGTTTTTTTGTTCGTTTTTTTGTTGTTTTGTTTTGTACTGGGGATCGAACTCGGGTCCTTGCACCGAGGCGGTCAAACCACTGAGCTAAATCCCTGGCCCTAAAAAATGTTTTTAAAGGAATTTATATCTCATTATTCAAAATAGTATCTACACTGCAATGCAGCAGCAAGGTAAGCTGCATTTTGTACTTTACCCATCACTGCCTGTACCGCTTGGTATACATAGGTGGGTGGGTCTCTTGCAATAATTTTTCACTTATCCACAGTCCAGACTTGGGAACTTCATAAAGAGAGACTAGACAGCACCTGGTATATGGAACCCATATATATGGCGGACTTTCTACTTCTCCCCAGTAGGTCTTTTTCTGAAATATACCGCTTCCTTTCCTTTCCCTCCTGCCTATCCCTTCACAGACATTCTAGTGGACGGTAAGAGTGAGACAGATCACAAGCGTAAGGAGATGGAGGAAGGCGCCTAGACCATTGGCCATCCTGAACCCTGACCTGGGCCGCCACGACAGAATAGGACACTGGACTGGGAGAACTCACACACAGGACCACTCACTTTCCTTGTAGACTCTGTTAATTTCCTGCAGCTCCTGGTTGGTTCTTGAGCAGATGATCTCGATAAGAGAGTCCTCATCAGTCCCCAGCCCCTGGGAGCCAAGAAACACAGGCATCAGCAGTCCGGAGCACCCCTAGCCAGCGTACATCCCTGATCTCCACCAGGTGAGCTAGCAACCTGGGCCAGGCCTGTCAGAATTCTCCTTTCCATAGTCTACCGAGTTATCTGGTATATCTTTCTAATCTTTAAAAAAGTGCTTCACCAGCCGGGTGTGGTGGCACACACCTGTAACCCTAGCACTCAGGAAACTGAGGCAGGAGGATTGCTGCAAGTTCTAGGCCAGCCTGGGCTACACCATGAGCTGAAGGATAGTGTGAACTACAGAGCAAGACCCTGTCTCCAAAACAGGGGGAAAAAAGCTTCACCAGAGCATATCTTGGCATTTTTCAGTTCAACTGTATTTTTTTGTCTTGCAGTACTGGGGTCTGAACCCCAGGGACTCGTGCATACTAAACAAAGCTGTGGTTTTGTTTATTCTATTTTTAAAGGGTGAATGGGAAGAGACAGCCATCGAATACACCAAAATTCAAAGTGGTGACAGGTTTATCAAGTAACTTTCTCTTCTTCCTATTTTTCTTTGATTTTTCATTTCTATAATAGCCACCCCTTATTTTAATATCTGGGAAATGATCTTCAGTAAACAACTCATTAGTCTAAAATGAGGAAATACAAAATATTTTATGGCAGCCCCCATCGGAAGATTACGGTAAGCCTTCTTACCAGAGAAAGGTACAATTAAGATAAAATTTTTAGCTTCTCTTTGAAATGTAAAATTGGGTTAGTGTTAAAAATTTCATTCTTGTACTCCCATTTCTGCCTGATTACTATGCACTCTTCAGGCATTTTAGGTAAGCAAAAGGAAATAATGACATGCCAAATAAATCTAGACACCAACACTTCACTAAGGAGTAAGACTTCGATGAGTGATGCATTCAAATTTAATACATACACTTTTGAGCATGCCAGACAGCTTGAAAGGACTCAATGAAACATGCATTTCAAAGCTGGCTTCATGATCAAAGTCAAGATTTAATAATCAGGATTTTCTAATACTTGTCTTTCCGAATACGGAAATACCACTTTGAACTAAGGAGAATTACAGCTGTTTAAAATGTGAATCAATTACAAGGTGTTAATACAATAAGAAACTTATGCACAAGAAAAGTGTGTCAGCTACTAATTAAACTTATTAGAGTTTATATGCCCCCCCAAAAAAAAGTGGCTTCTATAATCTAAGCTAAGCCTCGGGTTAATAGCTGATTTTGAATTTTATTCATAATCTGATCTTTGAGCCAAAGGCTCATCTTCCAGAATTTTTATCATGATTTGTACAGATTCCAGCAAAGCCAAGAATTCCCCTTCTGTTAGCGAAAGGTTCACACAGCATTCTACACAGATGATATAAAGTGGCTACTGTGCATCTCTGAATATTTTAGGAGGGGCAGTTTTTCAATCTCAAGGATGATAGAAATACAGCCTAAAAGTTAATTCATGCATCAGAAGAAACACTATATCCTGCCAGCGTTGAACTACAAGACAGGCCTGGTAATGTAAGAGTTGCCTCCTTCTGCCCCTGATACACCAGGGTAACACCACAGAATTCTAACAGTGCCTTCATCTACATTCAACGGTGACCTTGGCAATTTCCAAAACTTGCCCCAAGCTTTCCAGAGACTGCACACAATCACGATCACAAGGTCAACTTCTCCAGGGCCATCCGGCAGACAAGGCCACTGGTATCGCCAGAAGTCAAAACAGACTTTTTTTTTAAAGCATATTTTGGCTAATGTGCCTTCCGCTGTGATAGCTAATGGAAGAGCTGGCATGGGGTCAAAGACTTAGCAGGGGAAGCATCTTTCACGGGGTCCAATTACAGAGATGACGGCAGTGACGGACAGATCCCACAGGTCTGTCTCAAGACACCGGACCCAGAAACAGATACGAGGAAAATCACACGAATCACAACAGAATGGATTCTTGATGAAAATGAGGCAAACTGATCTGAGTGTTGACGGCCAGGAGAAACTGGCCTGTGCAAGGTATCCCGGAGCCGAATGATTAAATACCGTTGACGTGCCATCCTTCTCAGTTACACCCTCCCTGCGGCACAGCCTACTGGGGAAGCTCGAGCAAGTCCACTCAAGTAAACTGCGCAGAGCTCGGATGAGCTGGAGAGCTCAAGGGAGAGATTTAGCAACACAGCTTTCAGCAGCCCTGGAAATGCTCCATATGTAGGGCGGCCTCGTCCTCAAGCTGCGCTCTGGGGAAAGGATGACAACTGAACTGTGACATTAGCTTTGCTGACAGACTTACAGCCAGGTCAGCTCGCAATGCAGATGCCAAGATCACTGAGACTCAGAATTTAAACATCAGGATGTGGCTTGCCTCTCTCTGCTGAGCATATGCCCAGGCTAGCCAGCAGAGGGCAGCATCGGATTACGCAAAGGGTTACAAGCGCACGCTGAAAAGGTCCTCAGTCTTTTCGCAGCCACATTTAGGTAGCTCTTCTATTTAAATAACAGTTGGCGTTTCAGGTAAGCACAGAAGTCAGGGAGTTTCAACTCAGAATTTTTACTAATTTATCCTAGAATTCCAAAATAACTGCAGGAGAAAAATACAGCAGTGTGTGCTGCAAGTCTTCGAACAAAACACAGGTACCAACCAGCCACCATCAACAAGCAATGCTACCTGACGGGGAGAAGGCAGAGGGGAAAAATAACCACAACAGCTTGAGCAAAATTTGCAAGCTCTGCTTTCCAAAACTCTTGAGTTTTTCTTTCTCCTTACTATCACAACATATTCTTTCTTAAGGAGGAAGTGTAATCAAGGAAGTAGTTTCCCCAAATGGTATTCCAATCGCCCAGGTGGCAGCTGCGAACTGACTTCTCAGCATCTTGAAATTTTTTCAGTCTTTTTAAAAAAAAAAAGTAATTGAAATATTTTTGGTACAAAATCCTAAAGCTTATAGCTTTGGTTCCTTCAAAAAGGAAAAATTCCAAATGAGACATCAACAAAACTGAAAATCACCTAATTGCACTCGAAAAGCTATAATTTACAAATATCAATGGCAGGTTTGACAGCAGTGACATCTCGCACACGCACTCACCTTCATGGAGGCTTTTAGCTCAGAAGCGTCATACTGAGCAGGTGTCTTCAGCAGCCCCAAAATCACCGACTCCAGGTGGCCAGATAAGGCTGACTTCAGCGCTGATGCGAGTTCCTTTGGAGAAACAGGCAATCACACAGAAAACATGGTCAGTGACCAATCCAGGCTTTCAAACTGGAGAGTAAAACAAAAGTCCGCCGCTGTTTGTAAAGTACAATGTGAGCCTTTAACCACTCTGGGATCTTGGGTAAAACACCTTCTACTGAGTTTCCGTCATTAGACCCAGATGTCAGAAACCTAAAGATCAAGTTTGCCCTAAGAATATCCACTAGAATCCACAAAATTTGGCCTACTCCTCTAATCACGAAAAGGACCCCAGAGGGCTGAGGGTGTGGCTCATTGGCAGAGCGCTTACCTAGCACCCGAAGGTCTCGGTTTCAGTCCCCAGCACTGGGGATGAAAGGGAAGACAGTGGGCCAGCGAGGAGTTGCTCCACCAGCTCCACGGGTGAGGGCATCCCAATACAAGGGGTGGCAATGCCCCACGGAGGGCAGAGGGTGTTCTGGAGTCGAGGCCCCACCAAGGAGGTGGGTCAGTGGGGACCCCCAGGGAAGCAAAGCCCTTGGGGCTGCTGAGATCCCCCCAGTGCCTGCACAGCTGCTCCAGAGAGGTGCCTCGAAGAAGCCTCCAGGAGGACCCAGGGGCCCCACCACGGCTGGAAGGAGTTAGAGCTTCCTGAGGCAATTGCTTCATCTAACGCCGCACAAACACCTCCTGGTCCACACCAGGTCGGGGCAGAGTCAGTGGAGGTGACAGGAACCCCAGTTCCCCGTGGTCCCCTGACTTCTCACTGCATGTGCTTTCTTAAGGGCTCTGCTGTCCCCAAAGGCGCAAGATTTAAAGGCAGAGCTGCGAGCAGCACCCTTGCATGTAAAGACACAGCCCTAATTCAATGCGGATGATAAAGACACACTCTCGGATTAAACTTCGCACAAATCATGGGCATTGGGGGGTAGCTGAGGACCCTCACTGTAATTCTTCTCTCTCCCTACTCTGTGTCTCTTGCTTTTCAGCAGCACCTATGGCATCTACGATGCTATCCCAGAGGTTCCTGTAAACAAGAGATGTCCTGTAGCCTGCTTAAGAGATCATCTTTTCAAATCACTCGTGCATGTCAAGAAATTAGAACTGATGAGGATCTGAAAAAGCCCCCGGACCAGTGCCTTGGCTGCCCGCTCTGTCCTGCTTCCCACAGTCCTAAGTCCACAGTGTGCTGAGGAGCGGATATCACAGCTGTAACACCAGCTTTCCACCCAGGGACTCTGAGGTTAGGAGATGCCAGGCTCAGCCTACCTGGACACTCCCCGCTACCTGTTCTTGGTTCAGACCTCCTGGCTTCTTCTATTCTGGACTCCTCCTGGGCATTCAACTTCCTGTTTCTTATAATATCCCGCAAAGGGCTCTGCACTTAAAAACTCCAAAAAGGCTTGCTACATGAAACACAACACCATGCACTACATAAGGAAACCTTGCACCTGGCATCTGCTTGAGCGTGAAAGCAACATGGAATCATTCCAGGCGCCCAGCTCCTCTCCCCTTCTGCCAGCTGTGCCTGGGTCTCCAAGCTCACCCTCAGGCAGCCTTGGTCCATGTCTTCACAGCACTGTCAACAACTCACTGAAACGCTAAGGCTCCGCTCCCAGAATCTCCTGTAGTGACGACCGTCTGCAGCACAATCCTCCCAGCGCAAGGCAGAGGCATCAAGAATCCGTAAGACAATGAGCTGTCCCCCTGCACAGCACAGCCAGTGCAGTGGACAAACCCCACCATTACCCTGGTCGTATTTTCCCTCCACCAGCTTTCCTGAGAGCTTTGTTACTCATCTATCAAATGGGAAATCGAGATCCCGGCTTCTGTGTTTGTGTGTACCCAGAGTTCCAAGGCCACGCTCTAAGCAACAGCTGCGTGAACAGTTCTGCACCTACGTCCAAAGGGGCGGACTCTGTCCCAACAGGGGCTTGGCTCTGCCAGCTCAGGGGTTCTCGGGGGAAGCCGGGGAAAAGGCTCACAGCAGAAGAAGAATTTCCGTGCACATAAAAGAAGCCAGCTGCTTTCCTATTTATGTCCTTTCCAACTGTTTCAGAGGGTGGAGGAGGGAGCTACAGCCAGGCTTCTTCACCTACAGTTTCCAGAACAGAAAGCCTCCTCCCAAATCTGTGCAGCTCCCCTTACTGACTAAGCAAAAGCCCCTCGTCAAATGGGAGCCTCAAGGGGCCACTGCTACGACACTGTGCCAAGAATAAATCAGAAGCTTTCAATAGCAGAAACTTAAAAACACAGCAGCACATCCTTAAAAACAAAATATCCCAACACTGAGACTACTTAAGTCTGGAAAAGAGCTGGCTGCTCTTTAACCGCTGGTGGATGTGCAAAGCAAAAGCTCAAAAAGACCCTTGAAACCGGGGGTGTGGTGTGGTACGAAGATAGCCGCAGGCCGCGTACTCTGCCAACCAAGCCCATTTCTCGCAAACTAAGACTTCAAGCGCATTTTTCTAAGAACTAGCATGTTGGGATCAATACTTAGCGGAGGCTACAGTCCCAAGACTAAATTAGAAACAGCTTATCAAGAGCCAGCAGGAGTCACGAAGATGAAATCCACTGCCACGTATAGAACAGGGAACCACACTGGCCCAAAGTAAGCACTCAATAAACAGCACCCATTCTTGTTAGCTTTGTTATTATTCTTTTTTCTTTCCTAGCTTTCTGTTCCAGCCACTGCCCGCTGTGTATACAAGGTGGGAAGAATAGGACGTTGAAATCAAGGGTGTTGTCCTCACATACTGGCGCTCAGAAGGACGAAAGAGGGAAACCTCTGATGCCCAAGGGTTCCAGGAGGTTCTTGGTGGTGAGCGCCACCTTTCATGAGAACAGGAGCAGCATCTGAGGAGACCCCGCCCAGCCAGCCACGCCCCGTCCCCGTCTGTCCCCGTCCCTGTCCCTGTGGTGGCTGTACCTTCTTGGTCCTCCTGTGGTAGGCGAAGGCGATGTCCTGTCTCTGTGCATTGCTGCGGTTGGTCAGAATGTTGACGATGGTGACTTCATCCACACCTATGGAAACACAAGGTGGGAACAGTCCCTTGGCTGCATCCTCTAGTGCTCTGGGCTCATGGAGAAAGTTTTAAACAGAGCTTTACACACCGAAATTTACACACTGTTCTCCAAACGAGAGTACAGCAGGGTTTATTCTCTGTTTTGCCAGCGCATCCTACCCAAAGGGAAGACCCTCTCTTCATTTTCTTTCGGAGACCCTCAAACCTCAAGCCTAAATGGACTTTTAAAATATTTTTATTTTAAAAACAGTTTGACTCGTAAATTGCTTTCTGAAATCAACAGTAGGAGGTGTGTTTGTGGGGCTCTGGCAGCTGCACAGAGCAGCAAAGATGGAAGAGGATTTTAAATGAAGGTCGCCAAATTGCCATTTAACTGGGGATTTAATAGACAGTAACTGCAAAATGAATTAATAGAGACAATTATTTATATTTATTGCAGGATTATGGCTATATAAGCAGCTAGGTATAATTTCTGTAATTATAGAAACTGTCATGACAAATGAGTCAGGTTTAATGTGGCAGTTGTATTTTAATAGCATAATTGATTAATATAATCAGACCAATTGAAGAGTAAATTGTTTCATAAGGAAAAATAAACGTTCCACTGCTTTCAATCTTCAATAGGCAATTTTAATAATCAATTTTATAACTTTATTAAAAAGAGTAAGTGTTTTAATCTAAATTAAATCTAAATTGGGAGTTTTGAAGTGCCACCAAAATATTTTAGTAGCTATTTTAATTGGAACATGTGTATTTACAAAGATAAGCAATGCCTTGTGGTATCTGAAAGTTTCCAATTTTATATCAGAAATACTCCTAACATGCCATTTAACTGAAGAAAGCACAATTTTAAGGATTCCGTATGTGAAAGGTCTCTCTCCCAACTGATTAGGAACTTTGTTTAATAAAAGGAAAAGTCTTTTGGCACAAGTGAGTGGCTAATTCTCAGGTGACGCAGAGTCTCTAAGTCCACAAGGTCACACGCCAACTGCAGACAGCATGGCCCAAAGGAAATCAGAGGAGCCTCAGACAGACAGAAAAGCCAGAACTGTGATGTTTGGAGGAGAGACAAGCAATGGAGCGACAGAGGTATCCTGACCTCTCAAGTGTGGCAGAAAGATAAAAAACCACAAGGGCAGAATTTCTGAGTTTTAAAAAGCAAAATTCTACCAAATGTAGAGTCCACCCCAAAAAATGTATGCACACTTCAGGAAAAGAAAAACAGTATGATTCTTAACAGATGGTGTTACCCTCATACGGGGGACCCTAGAGGATGTCATGTATCACAGAAAACCCCCTACACTGCCTGCCCCTAGAGAAGAAACTGAAAATGCCTGTGCAGCCATCTCAATGACCAAGGTTACCCAAGCAGCAGTTCTCTGTACTAATAAATGTCCGGAGGCTAAAAGCCACCACTTTGAGCACATCCTGTAATTGTAGAGGCCAAAGGTAACTTGTACTAATTTCATGATGTCTCTGTGAATCCAGTATTAAAACATTTATAAGAGTTTTCTTTCCCCTGAAGTGTGTACACCTTTTGGGCAAACTCTGTTATACTCACTTCAAAATGAGTTCACACAGACACAGTGGCTACTTTCACCAAAGCATCTATAATAACTTTAGCTCTGCCTTCCAGAGCAGCCAATATAAACACAGAACCCCAACTGCTATATATTAGAGTAAGATTCGAAGGCTCTTGGTTTCACCCTGGTATATATAAAAGTAGAGGGGGAAAACACAACATCCAGTAAGAGGCTGATTAAATGTTCTTCTGTCCACATAATGGTACCATGTAATCACTGTAAGTGATGGACTGGAAGTATTCACTGATGTGGAAAAGTATTTGCAAAATATTTGGGATTTGGGGGATGGAGCCAAGAGTTCCAGTTCCCACTAGATACGACCGAATGAGCCTTGATTCCTGTTTGGTTTCATTTAGGTACAGGCAGGATAGACGTAATTAATAACTCACTGAAGTTGTGGGGGCTCGAGCGGGCCAGTGTGTGTCCGTGCGCATACCCTACCTCACACCACACATTCTCCCTCATTCCTGCTCTCTTTCAAAAAGGCTATGGTTCAAGCCGGCATAGTGGTGCACACCTGTAATCCCAGCACTCAGGAGACTGAGGCAGGAGGATCAGTGTGAGTTCAAGGCCAGCCTGGGCTACTTAGTGAGTTTAAAGCCAACCTGAACTACACAGCAAGACTGTCTCCAAAAAAAAAAAAAGCTCTAAATTTATACTAGGAAAACCACTAACTTAAATAAACATATTTTTGCCTTATATTTCATGACCCATTTCAGTCCTCACCTAATATTTTCACCCACCCATGAAAAAGTATTACCTTGGAAACAAATGCAAAGTGTGTATTTAGGCCAGAAGGTGGTCCTTGGCCAACTGGCCCTGAAAGTCCCTGGAGCATTTATTAACACTATAGCTCTAGCTGGGCATGGTAACACAGGCCTGTGAGCCCAGCACTCTGGGAGGCTGAAGCAGGAGGACTGCGTTTGCAGCCCAACCTGGGCCACTTAGTGACTTAGTGAGACCCTGTCTTAAAATAAAACACAAAGAAGGGAGAGAGGATATAGCTCAGTGTGAAGGCCCTAAGGTTAATCTCCAATACCAGAATGGAAAAAAACAAAACAAAAACCATAGTCCCCTGGGCTCCACCTGAACTCTATTGATCAAGACTCTCGAGGGCTGAGGACCCCAGAGACAACTGCTAGCAGCTCCCTGGTCATTTCTCACAGCAGCAGCACAGCTGGACAAGCATGGAGAGAAGGGGGAAGGGCACTAGGGAGCTGCACGTGTATGAGGCTGTTCACTTCCACCTGTGGCTTCTGAGAGGTAGAGGGCTGCTACGCTTACAGGGAAAGACGCTTCCCTTTGCACAAATAACACAGGTAAGAACTCACACCTAAAAACATCCCACTCCACTAATGGCAGTAGAGTCCTCTGCTCTGTCAATGGCAGGGCTTCTGCCCCCTTCTCTGGAACAGAGCTGGAATCCAATCCAGGTACGGAAAATTCCCATACAGAGCCTTCAAATGGAACCGGAAAGAGGAACAGTCAAGGGTCAAGCGGTCCCCCAGCCACTCATGCAGCAGAGTCACCAGCAACCCTGTGCCGGGGCGCTCGAATGGCTTTGTACGGACGTAGTTCCAGATGCCCAGGAGGTGCAGCTCTGTCTCGCTCGACTGGGGCTTCCTGAATTTTCATTTTCCAGGACTTTGGGAAGGGCTTGCTGGGCAGAAGAGTCTAGGGTCTAAAAGCACCTGTACACGTTGGGCACAGGGTTAAAGAAGAAACAACCCTAAGCAGGGCTTCCTTTTCCATCCCTTTCCTTCCAAGCAAGAGCTCACCCGGGGACAGTGCTGTACACAGGGTCCCACCGAGGGTGGCCGAGAGTGCGGTGAATCCCACAGCCCAGGCTGACTTCTTCAGTTTTACAAAGACTAATGGAAGTTCAGGTTTCCCCAGACTGGCAAGGAGCCAAGACCCAAACGTACACATTTGGCTTCTGGTGGGAAAGAGCACAAAGCAGTTTCTGAGCATCTCCTCCTGGAGGGAAAACAGCTCAGCTAATCAGCTAACTGCAGCAACAGTGTTGACATTCTGGTCAAGGGCCCCTAAAAGGGCATCGCCGCTCCAAACACCAGGCAACTTGCAGTGGCAGCTTTTGCTAAGCCGGTGCTTCAGGGAGGCCTCACAGACAGAAAGCCGGAGCATGGAAGTCTGGGCCGTGGGTCCCTTCAACCATCCACCATATTTTCAAGCATCGAGCAGATGTGAAATCTAAAGCTTTCTGGTGGGAAAGAGCACAAAGCAGTTTCTGAGCATCTCCTCCTGGAGGGAAAACAGCTCAGCTAATCAGCTGACTGCAGCAACAGTGCTGACATTCTGGTCAAGGGCCCCTAAAAGGGCATTGCCGCTCCAAACACCAGGCAACTTGCAGTGGCAGCTTTTGCTAAGCCGGTGCATGGAAGTCTGGGCCGTGGGTCCCTTCAACCATCAAAGAGCACAAAGCAGTTTCTGAGCATCTCCTCCTGGAGGGAAAACAGCTCAGCTAATCAGCTGACTGCAGCAACAGTGCTGACATTCTGGTCAAGGGCCCCTAAAAGGGCATTGCCGCTCCAAACACCAGGCAACTTGCAGTGGCAGCTTTTGCTAAGCCGGTGCATGGAAGTCTGGGCCGTGGGTCCCTTCAACCATCCACCGTATTTTCAAGCATCGAGCAGATGTGAAATCTAAAGCGACCACTGAGTTCAAACCACACATTCTGCCTCTCCACAGGTCGGAAGCCCAAGTTAGCTCCACGGCCTGGCTTTCCATGCAAACTGTGCGTCTTTAATTGTGCATGGCAAGGTACCAGCAGCCTTGGTCACCGGATGCTGATTCACAGCCACCCAGATGCACAGAGCAAATGGGTTTCGTTTGCGTTGAATGAAGGGCTCGGGAGGCCCTGGGGCAGGGGTGGCCTGGATGGGAAGCCCAGGGAAACTGCCCAGCTCCTCTGCTTTTCTAGATCACAGGGAACCATGGCTCAGGTGGCTGGCCACACTGGCATCGAAGCTTGGACAGGACCACATGCTGTCCCCTGGGCTCCACCTGGGCTCATCTGGTGACGAGCACAGGACGAGTACTGTTTATTATAATAGCAGCCTTTATGGAGCTCCGGCTACATGGCAGGCTTTTCATCAGGTGCTTCGTGCATGCTATGTCTGGTCATTTTTATCACATTCAGGAGAGGTGGGTGTTGCTGTCATCTTCACTGTACAGAAAAGCAAGGCCCCAAAGGCAGAGTCACACTCCAGATCACAGGAACAAGTCGGGAGCAAGATGGGGGCCCAGGGCCTGGAACCCCACCACCCAAGGTCTCACTGGCTCCTGGACCCGCTCTCCAGGGTGCACCCCACCTTGCCTCACCACTTCCTACGAGCCTGAGCACAGACTCCAGAATTCGTGCTGATGTGCAGACTTTGGGGTTAAAGGTAACTCCAAACTTAGGGCTCACTGCCCCATGGGACATTAACAGCCTTGCATCAAGCCAACATCTTATTCCAACATTCTTTCCTGGGTGGAAGCACTGCTCTCCATCTCCAGCCCTTTACATTTTTTTGTTTTGAGACATGGCCTCGCTAAGTTGCCCAGGCCATCCTTGAACTTGTGATCCTCCTGCCTCAGCCTCCAGGGTAGCTGAGTGGTAGCTGGGATCATAGGTATGTGTCACCATGCTCCCCAAGGACAGGTACTTTTGGTTTCACTCGCACACCTGCAGACACATTTAATCAGCGGAGTGCAGAACAGGGGTACATTCTCATGCAGAAGGCAGGGAAGAGGAGCCTCTTGCCCATAAAATCAGGGTGCAAGGAGCCAAACCTGGAAGAGACTGCCGGGGTGAAGGTTCTGTCTCCCAGAAAGGCCTCAGGACTAGCGCCGCCCCGTGCTCTCTCCCTTTTCTGGGGGTGCCACAGGGACCGGGACTGCCCATGGCCCAGGCTATCCTCAGTTTGCTAGGTTCGCCCCTTACAAGGTCCGTGCTGAGTCACGGCGCCTGTTCTCTGAGAGCACAGGATTCTCCGGGATGGGTCTGTGCTTCCACCCCAGGTTTAATTCCCAGTGCAGGCAGAAAAAGAGGAACAGTGGGCTAGAATGTTAGTGTCTGGGCCATGCTGCAAACCTCCAGCAGTTCCATTAGAGAAGTAGAAGAAAGAAGTGCAGCCGTGTGTTGTAGTTTTCCGATGACAGCTGTGCTTATGAGAAGTGGGAAATCACTTGCTTTCACTCTCCCCTTCCCAAGAGCACAAAAGCTGCTAAAATTGAGACCGGAGATGATGACAGCCACCCCCTTCCAGAGACTAAAGCTCTTCCAGTTTATCGGCCCTCATGCTAACTCTGGGGTTGCTCTGCCACTAATTACAGCCTATTTTATGGACTCTACATTTGTCCTTTTCCAATTTAGCTGGCTCTCCTTCCCAGTCACTTGGACCCATGTGGTAAACCATTCACAGCTGTGTTGTACCCTCCGCGGTATATATTTAACCCAAGGCCAATCTCGACCCAGAGACTCCGGCAGATTAAATCTCAGAAACCTCTTGTTAATTAAGCAATATCACTACTTTTGCATGGCTTAACCTAGGTGCTCATTAGACTTAAATTAACGTAAACGGCTGCATGCACTACCTCAAGCCAGAGCACACACAAGGCAGCCAGCGTGAGGCCCGGGTATTGTTCAGGACACACCCAGCAGACAAGCCACAGGCTATTCTGAGAGAGAGAGCCAAGCTCACCTGGGGACTCTTACCCTTTCGGGGTGCGATCCAGGTCCTGCAACAATCCTTTGTGGCCCGCTGTGCCAATGACGCACACCTGTGTGCTCTGGCATCTACCTGTGGGCCCTCTGACTGCTCTCCGGGTTTAAATTTTTACCTTCGAAGTCTCATAGGCCCGAGCACTAAAAAGGGTTAATGAAAGAAAGTCCCTGCCCTTAAGCAGAGACAAATCCAGAAGTAAACAGTGACAAGGCGGTGGGACAGGAAGAATGGGAGGATGGACGATAGGAGGAGAAGTCGGGAGGGACAAGGGTCTGCAGAGCGGCCACACCTGAGTGGGACCGGGTTTGAGACATGAAAGAGAGGGACAGAGCTGGAGGCGAAGCTAGGGAGAAAATCTGCAAGGTGCGGCTCGGACAGATGCCACCAGATGGGATGCGGAGGCCCGGAGCTCCCAGGGACCTTGCACCAGTGTGGGTGGCATCGCCTCAGACCTCTGCCCATGGTGGGTGTTTAACAGCACTGGGTTGACTAATTCATTGAGCTGTCCTTGCCCGGCACACAGAACACAGGGAGAGCAGCATGCCAGAGGGAGCCCAGCACTGCACTCCGCAGGTGTACACAACCCCCATCTAGCAAGGGAGGCAGGGGACGCCACCCTTGGGTCTTCGGCATGTGTCCCTATCAGCCTGTTTCCCCTTTGCTTTCTTGGAGGTCAAGGAAAGACCAGCACCTCGTATGAGTCTTGGGTGAGACCAGGCCTGGGTAAGGCAGGAGCACCTTCATGACACCCAGATCACAAGGGCCCTCGGTTATCTGAAACAGTCAGGGCTGAGCAGGAGGGGTCAGGATGGTGCCTCCCTTCCCACTGGCCAGTTCACTCTGCTTTGAAGTTTGCTGCCTTTCACTATGTAGGTAAAACAGGTCAATTTAGGGAACTTGAAAAATACAAAACACACCAAAAGCATCAGAAAGGCCAAAATCAATCATCCATGCATACTTCCATATATCTGTTACTAATGCCTTCTCCCTTTTTTTTTTTTTTCTGGTTTTTTGAGAGAGGGTCTCACATCTATTTCACTCTGTAGTTCAGGCTGGCCTTGAACTCACTATGCAGCCCAGGCTGGCCTTGAACTCACAGTAATCCTCCTGCCTCAGCCTTCCAGGTGCTGGGATGACAGGCATGTGCCGCTACACCCAGCTCATAAACAAGTTTTCATATCAACTTGACATTCTTCAGACATCCTGAAGTGACTTACTTATCACTCCTCAACTGAACGATAAACCCAGGTTTTCAATGTCACAGACAGGCTGATATTAACACATAACATGCTGAGCCCTTATGGGTGAGATATCCTTTCTTTCTGAGCATTTCCTAAAAGGACTTAAATTGATTTTTAACTGACAATATTGAAATTAATCTGAATGACCAGCGACATAACTCAAGAAAACAGTTATTCTCTAAAATCATTGGGCACCAAATACAAGTAAAAAACAAAAGTAGTTCTAACAAAAATCGCTGCACATTAAGGATGGGGACCAAAAAGCAAGAGCCAGGGGATCTAACAAATGTTGTGTGACAAATGTGAAGCTATCAAATGACCACAGGATCACATCTAGGCAACATTTTTCCTGCCTGGAAATAGTTCAAGGCTCAGAAAACAATTCTGATGCCGACATCTGGGTGTCACATGTGGTGCCCAAGAACCCATGTGCGGAGCAGGGAGCCAGGCACAGTTGAGTTCAAATCCCAGCAGGAGCAGAGGGTCAGCAGACCCTAGGCTACATCACTCACAAAGTGGGCAGGTGGACTATTCATTCCATCAGCGGTGGATCTGAAGTTCACCTAAGCCAACTGCTTCCGAAGCCCTAGGTGAGAATCACAGTGAGTCGGCTGCTTCTGACCAAACCGGAATGCAGTAATCCCAGTGTTCCCCACCAGACTTCTGCCTGGGAACTGTAGTATTTTTCTACTCATTCAGAAAGGGCCTGAAGGTATTTCTATTGACAAGAGAGCTTCTGCAACAACCACAGTTCGTTTGTGCAATCTTTACATTCCAGTGATCCAAAAGCTCTCACGCAGGGGTGAAAACACCCTTTGTCTCAGTCCGTAAAAGGCACCGTCTCTGTCAGATGAGTCCACTGCTGAACTCTGAGGTCATTCGCCAAGGGCAATGGAACACCACAAGCACCCAGGCACACCCGCTGGTGAGGGAGGGCGACTTTTAGGGCATGTGCGTTCCTGTGTCTCTATGGGATTTTGCTTTTGTTTTCTGCCCCGGGGAATTGTCACAAAGTTTCCCAGGCAGCCCTCACACTTTGGATCCTCGTCAGCCCCCCAGAGTGCTGGGATTATAGGCTGCACCTCCTGGAAGCTCGGCTTCTAAAGTAACTTAGAAATTTCAAGCACTGTCTGTGCCAAGTGCTTCCTGTCTCACAATAACCTTTAGACCCACTCTATAGGTGAGGAAACGGAGTCACACAGAACCCAGGGTTCTCATGGAGTTGGAACAACGTTAGCGAGTGGTAGAACCAGATGTGAACCCAAGACTGCTCCTCTGACTAGAACTAACTGTAGTGAGATAGCCCTTTAGATTTTAGGCTTATGTTCTGATCGTGACTTCTGACAAGAATCCATTTAAAAAGCACCAAAAGCCAAGTGCGGTGGCACACACCTGTAATCCCAGCACTCGGGAAGCTGAGATAGGAGGATCCAAGTTTGAGGCCAGCCTGGCTATCCAGCAAGACCTTGTCTCAAAATAAAAATAAAATAAGCTAAGGATGTGGCTTAGTGGTAGAACAGCCATAGCTTCAATCCCTAGTATAAGACAAATAAAATACAGTAAAATCACCAAAAAAAGAAGACGTCTTAAAGGTCTAATGAGAATCCTTCACAACCGCCCCCGCCAGCAGCAGGGCTGGCAGCCACTGCGGGGTGGTCCATGGTGTCCCCATGGAAAGTAAGGCTGCTTAGGAGCAGGTTGTGTTCTCTTAGAACATAGGGTGTAGATGAATTTTCCTACTCTCCTTCTTGTTTGTGTCTCATGGTGGAAGGAAGTGCTTTATGCAAAAGAAAAAAGGGGAGGCAGGCATGGTGGTGCACACCTGTAATCCCAGCACTCAGGAGGCGGAGGCAGGAGGATCACTGTGAGTTCAAGACCAGCCTGGGCTACATAGTGGGTTCCAGGTCGATCTCAACTACATAGTGAGACCCTGTCTAAAAAAGAAGAAAGAGAAACTCTGAGAATGACCAGAGTAATGGCCCTGATTCCAGGGATTTGGGGTGTGGGGCAACCCCAAAGGTTGCTACACTAACACAAGCCATAAGCATCTATGCTGCACATCTGCAAGCCATGACGACCCCAACAAGCTCTTGCCCAACCCCAACCGATTAAACGCTGGATTTGCATTTCTGTGTCCTGGCTGCCTCCCCCTCAACCCAGAACTCAAGAAAGCTTTCAGTCAGACAGCTCTCTGCGCTGCAGGCGCGAGAATGAGCGCATGAGTGTCCTTGCAGGGTTAAAGGGAGTCTGGACCATTCCAGCCAACAGTGGCCTGAAATCAAAGCCGGGGGGCGGGGCTGCCTGGGTCTGGCTCCACGCCCTTACAGCCCAAGGCACCTCGAAGCACCAAAGCAGAGGGAGGACGGAGAGGACCCACAGAGTCCTCGGTGGTTCCTTGGTGGGAGCGGAAGACGCTTTGTGTTGCTCACCTTTGGTCTTGATGGCCGTCTCGATGTTCAGGGCGTCCCGCTCGGCATCAAAATTGGCGTAGGCTTTGACAGATCCATAGGCACTTGCGGGTGTCGAGTGCTGAGGTCAAAACACAAACGCTCTCAGAAACACACACGGACACCCGCTCGCTCCAAAACAGTTCCCAGAGTAGAGTCTGTTTCCTTTAGCAACCCGAATCATTCTCACATCCGGCACCCACGCAAGTAAGTATTAAACAAGGCGCTGCTCCACAGCACACAGAAAGTCCGTCCTCCCCCTGTGAAAGCGGTTCCCAGGCTCGGCTAGTGGAGAACACACTGTCTGCCTTTCTACTTCTGCTCTTACTTTTAGTCAAGCTGGGGACCCAAGACCAGCACTTAGTCAGGAAGGTTGTGATCACTGATCTAGCGACAATTTGAAAGAAGCTGAAATGCGGAAATGCCTCGGTGACTAGTACATTCTGCCGTTTTTGTTATAGGCACATGAAGGTCCCCTGGGCCTGTACTGCTGAGCTCTCAAATCTGTAAATAGCAAATGTAAATCCCAGCTGTTTGGAGGCTGAGGCAGGAGAATCTGGAGTTCCACAGCAGCCTGAGAAACTCAGCAACACTCCCATGCAGAGAGAAAGAGGGAAGCAAATGTAAAGTGCTTGCATGCTTGTCTCTACCAGATCAACACAAGAAGTATCCTCCTCCACCCGCTACCCCGGCCACCGCAGTGACACCAGGAGGGTCTGGGGAGACAGCCCACATCCCCCTTGGCTCTCCTTTGCTCCCCTACTACCTTCTTCCACTCCATCTGTTCCGCCTACCGCTCTGCCTAGCACTCTGACCACACTGGCAAGCCTTTTTTGAAGCCTGTCAAAGCCCCTGACCCTTCCCAGGTTGACAGGTAATGCCTCTGCCCACCCACCCGCTTCACTGCAGTGAGGAGAGCTTCCCTATCAGCTCTCCTCTCTAGGGATTCAAGTTGCCTGTGGTGTCCCCAATCCCTGCATCAAGGGGAGGACAGACCAACGGCGCCTTGGTTGGCTGACGCCAGCAAAGCCGTCCACCACAGTCCCATCCTGCAATGCTCTGCAGTCCACAGCATCCACGTTGAGTGGCAGCAGAGCCCTGGCACAGCTTTTGTAAAGAGTGTCCCGGCCCACCTCTCCTTCCTTGGGCCTCATACTCCATCCAGACCAGCGCCCACACCATCCACTTTATTATTTTTTTTGTTGCTGTTGTTTTGAGGCAGGGTATCACTACATAGTCCAGGCTGGCCTCGAATTCACTGCATGGCCCATGCTGGGCTTGAACTTGTAATCCTCCTGCTTCAGCCTCCCGAGTGCTGGGATTACAGGTGTGTGCCACCACGCCCGGCCCATCATTCCACTTCAGAGCAATGAGGTTGCATGGTAAGCGACCAAGATGCCAGTCCCTCAAAGGTCTCCCAGAAAATGGTAGAAACCTAAGCTCAGGGTCAGATATACATTTCCAAATGTACTGGCCAAATGATAAACCTGGTAAACATTTATAATCTCGAAACATAAGTGGATTACCAAAGCACGATTCATCCAATTTCACTGCTTAAACTTTCCAGAAGACTAGCTCAATGGAAATGGAACAACCATTCAGGGAAATATAAAAATGCAATGCTGTTGTGAAATATTTACTGTATTTACTATGGTGGCTAGAAAATGTGGGCGGAGATCTAGGGAAAAATATTTCCCCATTTATTAACAACACCATCGGTTACTAATTTACCAAGGTGGGAAGTCTGGCCTCAAGCCCCACACAGGCCTCTATCACATACTGTATCACTGTATCCAAAATAACAGTGATTGGATAAAAGGTTTCTGTTATTCTATAGTACCTAGAATTAAACAGACAGTTGGACCTGTTAGCTATACGATGCACTTGTCAAAAAATTAAGTTACCACTGCGAGTTCGAGGCCAGCCTGAACTATATAACCAGACCCTGTCTCCAAAATAATAATGTTACTGGGGCAAAAGTGATCTTTTCTGCCCTTAAGTGTTGGGAGATAAGGGACAGTTTCATTTGAGTCCCACCTTTCAACTTGGAGAAAAGTATCATACTGGAGTAGAGAAAATCTCAGCGGGACCTAATGGCGCTCATGTAACTCGATACTGAAAACAATCTAAAGATCAAATCCATTAGAGAAACAAATTGCCTAACACCTGCATGCATCAGGCCTAAACACGCAGCCTCTATCGTTGCCAACAACAGACAGCACAAGTTCCCAGAAGAAGACGGACTTTAAAAAGCACAAACAAACCGTGCTAGACAGAATTTATCTCCAAACCGCCAGCGCCTGCTCGGAGACATTCCTCTGAGCATTTTGATGGCAGGTGGCAGAGACAACAGAGGACGGACGGGGCACCACGTGACCCTCGTTCCTGTCAGTTCCTTTGGAGAGAATCCTTCAGATTTTCACCTGAGGGAGAGGATATTTGGAAGTTGTCTGTAGGATATAGCTTATAAACTATGTCAGTGCTGGGTTTTGATCGGAGTCGTTTCTGCCAAGATGGCCTGGAAGATACATGGTCCTTATTAGGTATTTTCTATATTCATTACGTATGTTCCATTTGACTCTGAAAGTAGCTGCAATCGTTTACACATAGCTTTAAAACTGTTAATTATGAAAGAAAGAAGCAGATGTTCCCGGGAAAGACAAATTTAATTCTGAGCTCCCTGACAGCCAAACCAAAACATGATGAATTATAGCAATTTTATTAAAAAAGAAAGCAAGAAGAAACATCCTGGCTGTTTCGGAGAAGAGCTTTCCCAGGTGCTAACTTTTAAAAAGAGAAGTGTGGGTTCTTGTCTGGAATAACATCCTGCATGTTATAGAAGTCCAGAAGACGCAGAACCATTTTTTGATACGGTCGAAGCAAATGCTAAACACAAATAAAATCAAGCCTGGCATTTAAAAAAAAAATCACATATTATCATAACAATGATTACCACCGACACGATAAGGCAGAAAGTAATTCCGGCTACCCCAGTTTCTGTAACTCTGTCCAATTTTAATGTGATGCCTAAGATTATAGTGCTGCAACACTTTTTTTCAAATTGAACTCCAACAGCTACAGTAATGGGGAAGAGGAGGAAACCAATAATGATGGAATTTGGGGTCCATTTTCCTTAGATATCAGGGAAAGAGCACAGCTGTACAGAGACGCCCAATTTGCAAAAATTACACAAAGTGAAAAATGTTATACTTACATCACCCTCCAAGCTGAGCTTGCACAGAATTTCGTGAACCGTGGACATTTTGAATGAAGCTGGAAAAAAAAGTACAACAAAAAGTCTTTATAAAGAGGTTTTCCTTTCTCCAAAGCAGAGGTTCGTGATACTAATTTCTACTTCTTGGGCCATTTCATCTGAGGATACAAGAGCATTTTTTGGGAATAGACTCCCATCTTATGATCGGAGAAATGAAAACGTAGCAAGGATTTCCCTTAGGTTTTTGACGAACCACCACACAAGCCAGTCCTGCTGTGAACAAACAGAACCTGGAGCGACTGATCTCAGTGAAAAACAAAAGGCAGGAGGAGAGTTGAGTCTTCTGACTTCTCAGAAAGAGAGGTTAAGTCTGTCAAACTTGTCACGACTTCCGCATGTCTCCCAAGTAATACAACGGCTGGAGAAAGGCCTGAGAGCCTTGGGTGTGAGCTGAAATCACGCAGCCCATTCCGAAGTGGACCCTGCATGACTCGGTCCAGAATTGTTTCCTTAGTCCAGTGATGCTAAGAAGGTACAGAAGTGTTTATGAGAAAGACAATGGTTTTTCTCATATTGACTCATCCCATAGAGCGTGGAATGTCTTGTATTTAAGACTCAAAAATGGCAGAAGTGAAGCCCTCTTCTCCCAGCCCGTACATTTACTTCCTTGGGCAGTGTCACCACAGCCTGATAAACTGCCTTTCCAGGGCAGCTGCTTAGTTTTCAAAGGTGCCAATAAGTGTATCTCAACTGAGATAAGATAGGTCAATCTGCATGATCACCCCAAAACCAACCAAACAGGGCAGAGGAGCATACTGAAAGAGTTAGGAACAACATTTCAGTGATAGCAACTCCTGCTATGGTTTCTTTTTGCTTAATATTCTCTTATCAAGGAAATGCTTGTATGGAAATTCACCTTTCTATTCTCTTCAAATTGTTTGCTTAGTCTAAACATGTTCATAGTACTGATTTGGAGAGCATATTTGACATAGGCATTTGCCAGTTTTTTATTATTTTTCTAAAATTTGTACTTATTTGTTTTTGAGGCAGGGTCTCATTGTGTAAGTCAAGCTGCTCTTAAACTCACTGTTTAGTCAGATGGCCTCAAACTCATGGTTGATCTTCCTGCCTCAGCCTTCCGAGTGCTGGAATCACAGGCACGTACAACCATGCCCTTTGAGACATTTGCTGATGTGTAAGAGCATTTTATACTAAGCAGATTCCAGGCCCTGTGCAGGTTGGGACATGAGGAGATATAGGAGAAGATGTAGTTATACAAGTATTTCTGCAAGATTTTCATCCTGAGCTCTCTCCTCTCTTGGTTTTTTTTTGTTTGTTTGTTTTGGTACCGGGGATTGAACTCCGGCCCCCACGCTTGTGAGGCAGGCAGCGGAACCACTGAGTCAAATCCCTCGCCCTGGTTTTGTTTTTTTTGAGACAGGGTCTCACTATGTAGTTGAGACTGACCTGGAACTCACTATGTAGCCCAGGCTGGTCTCAAACTCACAGCGATCCTCCTGCCTCAGCCTCCCTAGTGCTGGGATTACAGGCGTGTGCCACCACACCTGGCTTCTCCTCTCTTCTTGATGTTCACAGCTGCTTTGCTTTCTTGTTTTTGTTTTTTGTAGTGTCAGGAATTGAACCCAGGGCCTCACTCAAGTTAGGCAAGTGGTCTATTGCTGTGCTACATCTCCAACCCTGTTTAAATTTTACTTTGAGACAAAGTCCATCTAAGTTGCCCATGCTAGCCTCAAGCTTGAGATTTTCTCCAAGTGCCAGGATTACAGGCGTGGGCTACCACACGTGGTTCACAGGAGCAGCTTAACACAGGCAAAAAGGAAACTAATCAAAGCCATTCTGATTAACCAGTCCCACAGCTCTTGGGCTTTTCTCTCCTCTCACCAGTATGTCCTGCTGGAGAGTTATCTTTCTGGATGGTAAATGTCTTGCTCTACAAATAAGCTATAGACCAATCAGAAAATGAAATATTATCAGGGCTAAAAAGGAATGAGCTATCAAATCCTGAAAAAAAAGTAGGGGGACTTTAAGCAAAAAAGCCCATTGGGAAAGACTACCTATATACTGAATGATTCCAATGCATAATGTTTCGGACAACACAAAACTATGGAGACAGTAACAAGCACAGTGGTTGCCAAGGTTTCGGGAGGGGATGGATGAGATGGAGCACAGGGGAATCTTAGGCAGTTCATTTATTCCGTGTGACGCTGTAATGAACGATCCATGCCACTATACATTAGTCACAATCCACAGAGTGCACAACTCGAAGAGTGAGCCTTAATGACACTGCGGACTTCGGGTGATGGTGACACCTGAATAAAGACCCACTAATTCTAACACACGTCCCCTGGGTGTCTAATGCCCATAGGAAGAAGGCTGTGACGGGGGAAGGGGTACAGAGGACATGGGTGCTCCCTGTACTTTCTGCTCAGTTTTGCTGTGAACATATAACTGCCTAACAAATAAAGTCTATTTTTAAAAATGTCTTGTCCTATAACTCAACTGTCCACTGCACCAGCCACCAGCCCCATGTAGCCAGCAGGCATATGAAATGTGGCCAGGCCAAACTGAGATGTGCTCTGAGTACAAAGGGCACACAGATTTTGAAAATCTTTTATTAGTCGTTTTTATGCTGATATATAGTATAACTGTAACATGTTGGGTATGCTATAATAAATAAAATATATTATTTAAAGCTAATCTCACCTATTTCTTTTCCTTTTTTTTTATGTTTGCAATTGCATCTGAAACTCACATTCTAGTTTCAATGAGCAGTGCTGGGCCACAGGATCTTACAGAGCCAGGATTCAACCTCATTCCAAAGCCTGTGTAGTAACTAGATCCATTCACGCCTAACTTTGAGATTTCTTCGCAAGACGTAAAAGTCTCCCTTAATAAGGTATCTCTGATTTCAACTGGGGCCCAGAAATATCCAGGGGGCCACATCAGCAGCCTTCAGCCTGGGCGATACCAAAGCAGAAATGAGCGGCAGCCATCTGCTAGTAGAATTCTAGTCCTACTGTAAACAACTAAGAAAACGCCCAAAACAGAAACAAACAACAGGGGAACAGAGCAAGTCAGAGCTGTGCCCAAGCAGATTTAATTGTCTTCAAAGATGAGAACCCCACCTGCCCTCCCTCTACTCCTGAGCGAAGGAGATGGGACCACACTGCTCCGTGCCTCCAGGAAACACGTCCTCCCTGCTCCTGTCTGTAGTACAGCAAACTGGTTCTTATTTCCTCTCACAATGCCTTACTCTCACCACCTGCTTTTTATATCAAGTCTATCCGTCCCTCAACTCTGTGCTGCTTTGGCATCTGCTCCAATAGGGTGATGGCGGCCCCATTCCACATAGCTCTCACCTGCTGTTCAAAGCCATAAGCAATTTTTTCATTCAGTGTTGGGGGTGGAACCCAGGGACCTGGCCATGTTCTACCACTGAGCTACATCCCAGCCCAGGAGCACACTTGGTTCATCCACACAGCAGGGAGTTGTACAGTGCCCTCCAGGTGACCAGTTTTCAAACTGGCAAGCTTCTGGGTATGACTCCAACAGCAAGGGGTGTGTTTTATCTCATTGCTCCTATTAAGTCCCCCTCCCACACACACACAAACTGAAGAGTCAGTGGTGGCGAACCTGTGGCATGCAGAGCCCTCTGTCAGCACGCGAGCCAAGTCACCCCAGCACGGTGACTCAGCAGAGCGGCATTCAAGTTTAACTGCAGTGTTGGCACTTTGCGCTAAATAAGTGGGTTCTGGTTGCAGTTTGGGCACTAGGTTTCCAAAAGGTTCGCCATCACTGTTATAGTTGCTAAATAAACTAGAAAACAGGGTGCTGCTCTTTTGTATGAGGAGCAATTATATCACTTATAATCACTCTGCATAAAAACCAATGGGAGGATAACCACAAAGCCACAATGACCACAGAGCAATACCCAAGAAGCTTGCTAATACTGCCTGCACGTGCTTGTTAACAAATTTTATGCGATTTAATACAAACACATTTTCACCTGAGAAAGAAAATATGGCCTTGGCTTCTTCCCCTTCTTCCCTTTATCGTCCCCTGTCAAGGCAAAGCCATTGTGCATAGCACTGGAGCCCTGGGGAAACGGTTGGCTTTGCCATTCCCAAGGTTGTTAAAACATTCATTTAATGCAGTACCTTTGACTACTGGAAATGTCTTGGCTTCTGTAGCACGCTGGGCCTGTCTCTCCTACATTTAGATCTGCGAGACACCTACAGAACTGGGGAATGCAGCCCCTGCTCCTCTGGGAGACACTGAACAGGCCAGCCCAGAGTCCCCAGAGAATGAGAGGCTAAGGCAGGACCAGAACCCCAGCCACCTTGTCCTGGGCTGGGGCCTTTTAGAGCCTGCTGGAGAGAGAGAGAGAGAGAGAGAGAGAGAGAGAGGGAGGGAGGGAGGGAGAGGGGGGGGCACGCGTCAGAGGGCTAACAGAACCTAACACACCAGGGAGGATCCAGCCCGAAAATGTGAGAAGCTCTGGGGAGGTGGGAAGGGCTGATACCCCAAGGCGGTGGAGAACAAGAGGCCAGATGTGAAAAGGAGCCGAGTCCAGTGTGCAACCCTAAGAAGTAACTGAACTGGGCCAAGTTAAGCGTGCTTGTGGCAGTACTGGAGCCCTGAATGGCAATGTGGATGTGACCCCAAATCTACCTTTACTCAAGCTCCAAACGCTGGCTCTGGAGCCTGGATTTTCCTGCTGAAGCAATCCCTCCACCTTTAGTGTGCCCTTTGTTGTGAGGATTTAAAGTGACATCTACCCGCTATCGGAGACAACTGTACTGGGCTGGCTCCTCATCCCAGCCTCTCCTTGCTGGCCCATTTCTCTCCAGAACCCGGAAGCAGCAGTTTGCATATCTGTTTCCACCACTTGGACCTCACCCAGTCGCCCAACCAGTTTCAACTTGCAAAAGAGAGAGAGCGCTATCAGGCAGTTTGATCTGTTGGCGAGCACCTCAGCCCTCGTTCCCAGGGAGAGATGGATACCTGCCAGCCCTGTTAGAGTGGGGCTTGTCCAGGAAAAGTGGGTCAGTTTAGGAAAATAAAAGAGAGG